AAAAAATATTTTTGTGTTTTTTCCCCCTACTATCATGATTGTAAGCACACTGCTTTTGCCAAGACGATGGTAGTAGAAAGAGAAGTTGGTGGAAGAGTATTTTCTTTCTCCTGTGTTCCATTTTTAAATACATAAATAGGGATTATGGAACAGAGCATATAATCTCAGAGTCTGAACACAGGATTTGCATGCTATTGAAAAAGAGCAAGAGCCTTATTTGAACTGTGTATTCGTAGAGTAAGTGTCATTGTTTACAATATAAATGACAATGAATCATCTGCAATAGTGTTCCTAGGGAAGATACAAGCAAACCAATTGCTGTCCCAAGGCTACTAGGTGTATGGTTTTCTACTTTTTGATTTCCATTAGTAACTTATTACATATGGCAGTCTAGATCACAAGAAAAACGTAATGGCATGTGACTGCTCTAAAAACTCAAGGGGACTAACTTTGTGGAAGGCCCAATATCATGTTCATCTCAATAAAGCTCCATGGAAAACCCTCTATTCATGCCTACTTCACAAGTTATGAAGAGGAGAATAAAGTAGAAGCATGTAAACGTCAGACGTGTTGGGTACCTTGGGCTTTCAATCCATGTATTTTCTAATTAGGAATCTGTATGTCTTAATTCTTAATATAATATACCATATTTATTCTCTTGGTAGAACCTTGAATTATAATTCAAAATTTTCGGAATATAACATCATTGCATATCAAATTATATTAAAATTCTAATCAGAAAAAAGTTTTTTGGTTTCTATGTGAGAATTACCTTGAACATCAACTTATAAATCAGTCTATTAAAAAAGATTTGAACTTGGTTTGTAAATTAATCGCTTTTTTGTTGTATTTAAATTTTTGTACCTTCCTCTTATTCTTAATCACATTGAGTAATTTTTATAATGCACTTAGTGAATGTCCTAATAATGCCAAACATCCCTTTTCTCCCTCCCTTCTAACCTTTGTCTCTGTCACCTTTTTCATTAGAAAATTGAAAAGGAAATCTTACTAAAAATTGATATGTATCTTTGCACATGCTGAAATTACTCTTTCAGAAAATACATAAATAATTCTAGACCTTTTTATATATCTTCCAAATATACTAAAAACTTTGAGGAACTAACAAGCATTATCTATTTTATTGAAAAGCTCATCTCTTTATGATTTTAGTCAACATGTTTATTAAGAAGCACTATGTAGTACTTTCAAGGAAATCTAAATACATTATACAATACTCTAACATTCTAAAAACCTGTAAAGACTTTCATATCCAATTATAGTAATGCAGGAATATAAGAAAATAAGTGGGATCCCACAACTTCCAAATTACTGATGAATGTGCTAAGAAAGTCCAAGTCAATTTGGGCCCCCAAACTAGGAAAACTCAAAGCAAAGAAATGGACAGTAAAAAAAGCAAAGAGAAAAAGTGAAATGAAATATTTTCTCATTTTTCTCCTTAAACCAAGTCCCTTCTCTGAGCACTGACTATTAAAAGTAGCTCATCCGTATTCCTTGAATGTGAATAGGACTGTTCACACTGTAGTCCAAAACATGCTCAGAATTTCTGCTCCCTTCAGTCCTGTCTGACTCCTCTTGTTCCAGTTAACGTGATCCATCTCTGGCTTCTGCCACCTTAACCACCTTTCTAAGTAAACAAGCATATTGCAGGGGAACTTTCCTGTTTCTCTTTCAAGGTGTGTTGAGACACCCTCTCCTGTGGCCCCTGCCTTGCTTTCCCTTCAAATACTGACACAGCATCCTCTGTGTTTGTGCTGTGGACATTACCTTACCACAGTCTTGTCTGACTCATCGCATCCCTGCCCGCCTCTTCTGATCCTCGTGAGACGGCTTACCGCTGTTTTCCCTCATGTCTTAACACGGATCCTTCCAGACTTTAGGAGGAAGAAAACATAAGATGAATTTTAGCAGTGGTGTTTGGTGGTTGCTCTCCTTTTCTCTCAAATTTCATTCCTTTCTGTGGAAAACATCCCTAGACTTACCGTGGTGAGCCTTGTCCAGCGTACCCCCCACTAAGCCTGA